TTAACCACTCACTGCCATAACACAAGCAGTTTTATATTGGAAGATTTGGCAGTAAGTTAAAAATCAGTTCTAAGATCTGCATCATTAAGTAAATTGATATATTCTGCTACATAGATGCCAACAAATTTCTTTCCCAAAATGTTGGTCTAAGGTACTCTTCATATAGAACAGGTAGAAATATCAATGCATTTAGTTCTCGAGGCAGAATTTAGTTGGTCATCCATTTCTAACAACTGATATTCCTTGAAGGCAAATTCTTTTGCCCAGGGTTATATAGGTCAGAGCTACCAAGCTTTAAAAAAAAAATCCACTTTTAAAAATCAGTTTACCCTACTATGGGCTTGCTACAATGCTGCAAGTCAGTGGTTCCCAAGCCAGTTTGAGCACCATAATTGTCTGGGAAGCTTATTAAAGTATACATTCCTGGACTCCACACCCAGTTTCCCAAAACAAGATGTTAGGTATCATCATTCATAATTTTCTTAGAATGTAGCAATTCTTGAAGAACCATATGGCGAACTACTTAATATGACCTAGGAATCTGCATTTTTGACAAACCATCTTCATGTAAATGTCACTTTGAAAAACATGTATATGGAATGAAGCATTTCACTAAACTGTCTAAACATTACAGTGCAAAGACAATTTTTCTTTTCTATTTTGAGGAGTGTTAACTATAATATTAGACCTCTGACCTGAGAAGCTTAGAGATACTATTGCCATGAACCATTTCTTAAATTTCTTTTTTAGAGATTTCATGAGAACAGGAATGTAAATTGTTTCCTAAGGAGTAGAGTATTCTGATGGACTGAACTTCTGTACTCTAGTAAGTAAGTTTTGCTAGCCTGGAAACTCGTCTTGTCTTTTTTAGAGGTGTTTAAGTTAGTTATGGGGAAAAAGCCTTATTTCTAAACAACTCCTCACTTTTGATGTAAGTGAGCATCTTAAAGGGGGAGAAGCTAACTATATAAACTGTTACTTTTAAATGTGGTGACATGTCATCCTACCACTTTCACAACTAATTATTCTGGGATGTTTTGACAATGTGATTTTTTTTTAGTTAAGGTTACTGTTGTCTCTTAAGGGTCACATCAGTAACTTTAAATCCCTGAAGTGTAACTCGGGGCAAAAAGAAGTATCATTTCATTTAATGTTAGTAACTGAAGTATAATAATAGTTCGTAAGAAATTTAGATGTCATGAGCTAGAACTTTAGGGTCTACTTCAACATAAATCCAGTCCTAATGCCAGTAAATATTCTAATAATTTCACATGTTTTGGCAGCATGTTCACCAGGCAACTTTATGAATATATAGTCAAAGAGATGGAAGTGTCTTTTCTTCATAAGTTGATAGATAAATCAGATGACTTGTTTCTTTTGTAAACATATCTGTCTCTTGGTTACTGTACCTTCAGCCTGAGAGACATTGACTTGCTTATTAAGTCCAGTGTACTAAGCCCATGTGTCTCAAGTCCCCACATTAGATTGGTAATAAGCATTGTTTTTATTTTTATTTATAAGAGTTATAAAGAACTACAAACTACTTCAGCTAAAGTCAATAATACAGCCAAGGCATATGGAGATACATATGAAAAAACAGTAAATACAACACAAAAACTTATTCTTTCATCAAGCTTATAATAAACATTGAGTCTGTGTGTGTCATTGTTTCTGAGAATAGTGACATATCTTTTAGTCTGAGTAAACTCTCACCATGGTCACTGTATCATCCAGAAAATTAACCGGGAACAAGAAATGTATGAATTTCCTCTAGATCACAGTTCAGTTCAGTCGGGTCTGCCTGCTGATTCTGCCAAGCTAGTTGCCTTGACTGTGTTTCACTAATATACCAGGTAGGTACTGTGGGAATCTCATCTATTCATAGACATCACTGTTTAGATGATGGGACATTTGGCTACCTTGGCAGTCATAATTACTCCCTATAATACCTTCATTTCATTGAATTTCTTCACTTTGACATTCAGAGTCTGGGCAGAAATTACTGGTTTTAGGTCTTTCTTAAGTTACAGAGTTGCTCTAAATTGAAAATCAAAGTAGTCCATGTCATTAGCTATGGAATTCTTTAACCTAAAAGGCAAAAGACAAAGAATTTAGGGGTAAAAAAGTTTTTTTTTAAGGTGGCTATATTTTAACTTCCCCTGCCTAATAAATTCATGACTGAAGGGACAAATGAGGTACGGAATTTAGTCCTCCTAACATCCCATTGTATTCGTCATTCTGTTAAGAGAAGCAATGAGTAATGGGACTGGCTGCAGTTATAAATAATGTGCTGTAGAAGCACCCAGAGTGGAGATAAGGATGCAGTTATTTATGGGTGTTAGAGTGTGGCCTTCATTCTTCATTATCATTCAGTGGTTTCTTATGCCTCTAGAGACTCATGTAAAGTATCACTGTTCTTAGAAACAGAGTTTACACAAGAACCAAATACAGAAACAAGAACCCCATTACAACTACTTGCAAACATATCTTAGCAGGTATATCTGGATGGTCACAGTGGCCAGTTTTGCTCCAGTTAGCATAAGCTTAACATAGTAGATACTGACAGAATTTAGGATTAGTTTAAAACCCCATAAGGTATCCAGTGTTAATTCCTCTCCTACTTCTTAAGTGTTACTTTTAAATCTATGGGAATATTTTCATAAAATAACTAATTTCCATTGTTAGCTACTAGCACTACAGGGGCAGATTTTAAGAGCTATTTGAACTGTAAGATATTTCATGTAAAACTACAATTATACATACATGGTTGTACCCATGTTGCAAGAAACATGCTTCATTCCTTATTTCATAATTGAGTTTCTCTTCCCCCACTATATTTTAATACATGCTGTATTAATTGGTCGAACAGAAGCACTCAGTGGTAACTGAGGTACCAAAAGCATTCTGGTGAAGACCAAGTTGAATTAAATATCCAGGTAGCATAAGTTCCTATAATCACATATGTGTGCATGAAGCTGAGCTTCATTTACTCTCTCCAGTCAGGGACTAGAATAGGAATATGGACAATCAAGCATGGCCTGTGCATTCAGAGCTTGGGAGTTAATGTCTTTTAAAGGGTTGTTGGAGGGCAGGGGGCTGTGTGGCTGAAACTGGCTGAAAGTCTAAAGTATTTCCTGTGTGGCCCTATACAGAAAAAAAAAATGGATTCCTAGACTAGAACAATCACAGGAAGTAATCTGAACATAAGACTTCTAAAAAGAAGTAATGTTCAAATGGCAACTAGTAAGCCAGAGCGCTTTGTCATGAAAGTATCAGGTCAGAATACAAATCTTAAGAACTGGCTAGTGAATAGGCAAGTAATTCTATATTTCATGTCACAACCAGTAAATGGAGTAATAGGCCACCATTAAAATGAATTCATAATGTATAAAATATTCCGTATCTTAGTGACATAAAGGAAGAAAATGCGAAGGAACAATCACAGCAAGTAGCAAACATGTTAACCGACTCAGTACATCTCTTGTAGGAGTTTACTACTTCCCTTGCCTACTGAGTACTAGATGGCTGGTTGTACAGCATTCTCTCAAGCATGTTAGCCATACACTTAAAGAGAAACGGAAACTAATGGGGTAAGTTGAAAGCCAAGGTCTATCATGATCAGTGTTACAAAAAGAAAAAATGGGGTGTGACAATGAATGGAAAGATTATTTGCCTTCTCACTGGGAAAATTTAGCCTTCAAATGATGTCACTATTAAGTTTTAATGAAGTACAATCACAAATTACTATACTGCTTGACAGACTATTAAAGTTAATCAGACACAATAAGCATTGTCAGGATTTTCTCTTAAGATGAACTTTTCCATGACATGTAATCATTTTATGAAGCAATTATCAGAGCTATATTGGTCTTAAAAATGGGTCAGCCATGCTTGTACATCCCATATGTAGCCACTCTTTAGGTAGCCTTTGGCTCATATCAAAATTTAAAACAGGACTATGTATTACAGTCACACTCCCCAAAAGAATTTACTTCATAAGACATTAATAGGTGATAGTTTACTGACAATTTCACAGGAGAGACTGATTAAGCAGATTAAACTGCAGAAATACCCATTTGTTCACAAAATCCCATGCAGTTATCTCGTGTGTGTAATCGTGTATCATATAGTATTGTTTCTCCTAAGCATTTCTCACTTCCACTGCCCAGTCTAAAAATTACCCCATGACATCTTTGTTATATAGAACAATTTAGCTATTGTGAGCAATATATAAACTTAGCAAGTATATTCTTATACTTGCTTAGAAAGCACATGTCAGATTCTATGTTCTTTTACTACGTGGCACTGATCTTTAGTGCAGGGTCCCACTGGGTGTCCAAGGACTACTGATAAGAACCATGTAGCTAGCTGTATGTCACAGAGGGATGCAGTTATAGATGAAACAGCATCCATCTAATAGTTTTGGAGGAGCATCTCACTGGGTTAGCCAACTAATTTTACCAGGTCTTGGGCATGGTCTGAGTACAGTACAGTACAGGGTCAGGATCTTTTTACATCTTGATTCAGGTCCTAGCCTGCTCAAGTGCTAACTCCAGCACTTCCCTCAACCCAGAACTTTAATACTAAGAATTGTAAATTTTAGTAACAAATAGGTAGAGAACTTATTTAATAAACTTAGAATACATTATCTCTGAGCCTGAATATCTTAAATAAGCATTTTTAAAACAGGTTTTTTGATAGAATGGCCACAGTTTCCATCCAGCACATTTCATTTGACTGTGTTCCTTATTTGTAATACAATAGAATTTCAAGAATTCCAAAGTAAATTTGTACTTCTGCACAGATTACTCAGTTTGGTGGCTGTTACGCTTCCACAGATATTTTCCATGTGATTCTCTAAATCTACAAGTTGCCAGGATAATCTGGAACCAACCAAAGAAATTATTCCAAAGCATAATGTATTTGCCTCTGAGCCAGTGGTTCTTAAATTTTGGAACCTACATCAGAATTACTGTTTTAGGGACAGATTCTTAACAAACCTACTAAGTCAAATCAGTCCAATATTTTGAAAAGGTAACAATAACATTTATAATCATAAGAATGTTCCTACTTTGACACTGAAACTGCATTGAAAAGACTGTCTACTTTAAAAATAACGATTATGAGAAATGATACCATAATATTAGGTTTATGACTTAAGGGATGTTCTATGAAACTTTGATCAATATTTTAAAAGCCTTTACATGCAGCATTATTTACAATAGCCAAAATATTAAACTAAGTGACCACAGATAAATGGATAAAGATTATATATGTAAAATGGAATGTAACTCAGCCATAAAAAGCAAAATCTTGACATTTTGTAACAGCATCGATGGACCCAGAAGATAGGCTAAGACAGAGAAAGACAATTTCCCTATGATTTGACTTACATGTGGAATCTAAAAAACCAACAAACAGAAACAGACTCAGAGAACACACTAGTGGTTGCCACAGGAGAGGGGATAGGGAGATGGGTGAAATAGGTGAAGAAAAATTAGAATGTTTGATATCTGGATTTGAGTGATTACATGAGTATACACATCAAAATTCACTGAACTGTACACTTAAGATTTCTCCATTTTATTGTACGTACCTATTTATAGAGCACTGCATGAGCAGTTGGAAAGATGTGAGCACTCTTAAGGGAGCTGTAGATGTATAGGACAGTCGATACAGGGAAAGGAGGGGCAAAAAAACTGCTATTCTGAGCTGCACACAGAACTGCGTCACATCTGACATTTGATAGTCCCTCTATTCCTGTTGAGCAGGAAAACCATACGACTAAAGTTAACATGATATAAAGAAGATAACTGTAGGCCAGAGAATAAGAAAATACCACTTTCAAAGATTGGGAGATGATTCACCTGGCCAAATGGGTTAAAATAACAAGGGGATTAAAATTATCTAAAAGTTACCTATCTGCAGAGTGGGTTCAACATAAACCGATACTGCTATCCAAATGACTATTTGTTGGTAGGCTTTTTGTTGTTAAACAAGTTGCATTAACCCAGCCATAAACTGGGATATAGTCAAAAGGAATCAGGTACAAAAACCAGGTTCATTGTATAAGGAATATCCCAAAGTATGGATTTAGATAGTGACTGATGAGGATTTTACTGTAGTAAGAAGACGCTAAAAAAACTGCCCTCTTCAAACAGCCTGACCGATCAAGAGAAGGTTCATGTAATCCGGTTTTCACCTTATGTGGAAATAGCCCCTTTTACTGAATATTAAAATACATAATTGGCTTACAGCTATGAACACCCAAGATCCCCTTAAGGGCCCCAAACCATAACACTTGAGAAACCTCTTCGCTGAAATCTCGCTGAAGCTCTTGATAGAGTGGTATTTCGCCCTGGTTAACTCTACCGGGCCGTCCAAACATTTGCTCCCCCTCTAGAAAAGCAAGCTGTGGGAGGCTGCGCAGCGGACGCGAACTCGTGGTTGGGCTCCTGGCCCAAGCGAGTCAGCGCCAGAAGGTTTGGTCAGGGCAGTGGGTTGGCCCGCGCGGCGAGGGGCGTGGCAGGAGCCACTTCCGGCGTCGCTTCGCGTACCGCCTCGCGGCTGTGAGGTGTGCCCGCGCGGACAGCTGCTCACCGGAGAACGTCACTTCAGCCGCGACTCCGCCCTCTCCCGAGGCCAACCTGCAGCGGCCAGGAATACAACGCCAGAGAAGAAAGGTGTCGGCCGAGACGTGCGGCTTCTTCCTGGCCCGGGCGCTACCCGCGTCATCTCGCAGGAGCCCCAGAAACGCATTTCCTCAGCGGCCAAGGGAGGGCAGGGCGCCCTCTGCCAGGCCCACTTCCGCCCAGCGCCTTTGCGACACCCAGGGCCCTGGGCTTAACTTTAGCAGTATTCAGGGCGTTGTTTAACCGCCTTTCTCCCTTTAATACCATCCGCTCTTCGTTCCTTCCAAAAATAGTATAAAGCCATTTCCTGCTTCAGCCGACCGTGACGCGCTCTGCTTAGACTGGCCTGGCTCTGCCGCCATATTCCGGAAATGCTCGTAGCTACGGGCATGGCTGTTCGTGTGCCGAGAGGAAATGACTTCATTTTTCATCATCCTGTACTAGGGTGCGCAGGAGCAATAATGGTCCTGTGATGGGACTGACCTGTATTTGAGTTATGACCCCCTACTGCCCCTTACCAGCTCTGTCCACATTTAATAAGTTACTTAAATCTCTGAACCGCTTGTTTGCCAATGGATCAAATGAGATAAGCGGGTAAAGCCCCTTAGAACAATACCTGGCAGAGTACTACCTGGCATAAAGAAATAAAAATAAGGGAAAGCTGTTAGAATTTACCGAACATCTGTTTGCTCAATGTCATGTGTTAGGTATGAAAAGTTATCTGTCCACATGGGAATGGCCAAACACCCGGAAAGAGCTGGTGTTTGTCGGATGTCTCTTGAGTATATTTAGTATGTTTGCCGTCTCTCCCAGCCAGCCTTTCAGGCTCTTAGTATCTAAGGAAGTTTATGCTTTTATCCTACTTGACTTGCCCTTTTATCCAACTTGACTCGCCCTTTTGTCTGCCATCTGCAGGGATGGCAGACAAGCCCACATCTGTGTGACTGCAGCAGCATCACATTTTTATTTCACAGGGAAAACGGAGATGGATGAAAAGGTAGACTAGCCCCTTCCCAGGTACATTTTAGGCTGCCGCTTGACTGTAGGTTATAAAAGGCTTTCAACGCTGCTTGCCCCCCATGCTTTGGAGTCAGGTGCATGTGGGGAAGGGGGAGACGTTCTTTAAAAAAAAAAAGATCCTTCCGCCGCCCCTCCTATTTTAGTTGTACTAGTGACTATAGTAGTCTGTGCTTCCTGTGATAATCTATAATGAAATGATAACTTGGCAAAAGAAATTATCTTCCTCCAATAAAATGGACAAACCCCAAATTGGAGACTGATTAATCGTAAATCAGAGTCTTAAGATATTGAGGAATAATTAGAACTTTTCCCTCCCAAGCTGAGTTGTTGACAAGTTTTGGTTGATTTCTACAATCCCTGCACGAGTCTAAAGTCCTTTCCCCTTCTAACCTAACTATTCTCAGTGGCCCATAACTGAGACTGAAGAATACCTTCAAACACAATTCCCACTGTGGAATGAAATGATCTGATCCCAACACCGGTTAAAAAACTGGAAATTTCTTATACTTTGAACACTTAGCCTTTATGTTAAGTTACATTATGATAAAATAAGCCAAGAATAAAACAGAAGAATATTTAATGACATGGAAAGATGAGCATTATATAGTTTAATGAAGTAACGTTTATAGGGTAATCTCATTTTTGTAAAAAAAGTAAGGATATGCGTCAGTGTTTCGAATGTTAAAATGTTCTTCAATGATGATGTTTTGCTCTTGTAATAGAAAATAAAAATTATTTTATAAACTGTCTTTATGACTTGGATATTCTGTTAGCTTACTCAGTTTTCATAGAGGTAAACCAATGTCAGTGTTGATAAATCAAGAAAGAAACAAACATTTAGAAATCTGGAGCTACCTCTAAAAGAGCTACCTCTCAAAACTCTACTGAGTTTGAGATTGAGGATGGGGTCTGGTTCTGTTTCATTTTAAGCTCTTGGATTTGGGGTGTCTTCCTTTTCTTCCTTTTTTTAAAAATATACAGTATGCATGTTTTACTTTGCCAAATAAATTTTAAAATACATCTCAGTGCAATTAAAATTATTTTCATCCAGGTTACTCTCCCTTTCCAGGTTACTCTACCCTTTTCCTTTGCCACTTAGCAAGCAAAGAGAAATTAAGCATGTAGTTGAGAGGCACTTTGAATAACAATCAGGATCAAGTAGAGACAAATTATGAATTGCTCAATATAAAACAAGAGCTTTTTTTAAAATTGGGATACTACAGCTTCTTAATTATCATAAGCTGAGTCATACTCTTTTTGGAATGGTCTTTTGGCTGGAATCCATTACAGATTATATAGCAGTACTGTGGGAACTACAGCATCCAGATTTAGAGTCCCAGTTTGTATATTTGGTGCCCTCTAGTGCATGATTTTTAAATAACAAGAGCACAGTTTATCCTTGCTGAGTTGTAACTGGAAGAGGTTAACATGTAGATTTAAGGTCACCTTCCCAGTGTAATTGATCTTGCTTCTTTTCCTGGAAGCCAACGAGATTTATCCCTCTTTGCACTTAGGCATTATTTCCTAGCCGTGACACTTGCTAGGCTATGACGTTGCACTAGTTCCTTAATCTGTAGGCTTCAGTTTCCTCATCTGTAAAATAAAGAGGATAATCAAAGGAGCCATAGAGGGTTCCCCTGAAGACTGAATGAGACAACGTATGTAATGTGGATGCCCTGCACATAGGAGTTCAAGGATTGCTAGCTGTGTTTTGTTTTGCTTTGTTTACATGTAAATAGATCTAGCCAATACTAAACATGCTTGAAGAGAGTAAATCAACCTTGACTCAGGTGTCATACTTTGCTATTTGGGGGATGTGAAGAATGTTAAAGAGTAGCTTAAAAAATAAATAAGAACTTAAGTATGATTCTAATTTGTGGTCCCACCTGAGTCAATTCATAACAGTTCTGAAATCCAGAGGCATATTAAATTTCTTTGTGTCCTTCACAGTGCCTATAATTACACACCCTTAATAAATATTTGTCTTGTTTTAATGTCCAAGATAAATGTTTATATGATAGATCTTAGAAAATAGAGAAGATGCAGAATGATAGAGAAAATAAATTAGTCTAAAAATTTGTAAAGTTGGGTCCAAACTTCTGTTTCTTAAGCCACCTGAGTATAACATCTGAGTCAAGTTTGATTTACTCTCTTCAAGCATGTTTAGTATTGACTAGATCTACTTATATGTAAACAAAACAAAACAAAACACTACAGTTAGCAATCCTTGAAACTCCAAATGCCTTTTTCTGGATTACCATGGTTTCTGAATGAGCTGGGGATAGTATTCCTGTTATCAGTGTACAAGTATGAAAGCAACATGATTGACTCTATGGAACCCATGTGAGTCAGGATTTATAAATCAATGAGAAGAGTAGGCTCCAGAATTCTCAACCATTCTCAACCTTATTCCAATACTGCTTAGGCTACATAGTTAAAAATTATTTCCTTCCAGCAACCTAAGTGTCCATCAATAGATGAATGGATAAAGATGTGGTACATAGACACAATGGAGTATTATTCAGCCATAAAAAGAAAAGAAAAACTGCCATTTGCAACAATATGGATGGACCTAGAGGGTATTATGCTCAGTGAAATAAGCCAGGTGGAGAAAGACCAATACCATATGATTTCACTTATTTGTGGAATATAAAAACAAAGCAAAACAGAAGGAACAAAACAGCAGTAGACTCAGACACTGTGAAGTGATGAGTGGTTATCAAGGGGAAGGAGATGGAAAAAAGGGGTAGGGGGATAAAGGGGCACAATAATTTGCAATCACAATATAAGGTGATCATGGGAACTGTTGAACCACTGTGATGTACATTTGAAACCAACATAAGATTGTATATTATGACACTTTAATAAAAAAAATTATTTTGTCCTACTCAATCCAAGAGATACCTCCTCTTTCCAGATATTCTTCGAGACCATCTATAGTTCTTTTCCTTCACTGACAAACATGGACGTTGGTGCTTACTATCACTGCCTCCTGAGAGGTAATAATAAGAACTTAAGTATGATTCTAATTTGTAGTCCCACCTGAGTCAATTCATGACAGTTCTGAAATCCAGAGGCATATTAAATTTCTTTGCTTCCTTCACAGTGCCTGTAATTACACACCTTTAATAAATATTTGTCTTGTTTTAATGTCCAAGGTAAATGTTTATATGATAGATCTTAGAAAATAGAGAAGATGCAGAATGATAGAGAAAATAATTAGTCTAAAAATTTGAAAAGTTGGGTCCAAACTTCTGTTTCTTAAGCCACCTGAGTATGACACCTGAGTCTAGGTTGATTTACTC